CCCCATGCCTTCCCTTGGCTTGCCTGGGCGCCCCGCGGCTTCAGGGAGCCCAGGCAAGCCAGCCCTTGGAGGGGAGGGGAGGCAGTTTAAACTGTTTTCCTTTGGCTTACCCGGGCATCCTACGGCTGCGGAGAGCCCGGATAAGCTGGCCCTTGGAAAGGCCAGGGAAGTCACTGGGGGGTCGTTCTCCAGGCCTTCCCTCTGTAGCCACGCATGCAGAGGTTTTGGCAGTAGTGGGCGTGGCCAACTCTGAAGCCAGCCGGAACTACGTTCCTGTGCGTTCCTGCCCAAAAATAGCCCTGTACCTCTCCATGGCTTTCCTGGTCAATGGACCAATCTGACTGTTCTTTGGAAGGTACACAAGTCCTTCTTTTTTTTCCAGAAGGACTTTAGCTGAGGCATTTCTGTGAGTTTGCACTTTGCACCAATATCAAGGAATCTGGAAAAAGTTTGTATACTAGGGTCAAGTTGCTCTTTGGTGTTCTGACTGTATGAATGTTTTAATGTGATTTTTGTTCTGTTTTTGCCATTTGTATTATATCAGTCTTGAATCTTTAGAGAAAGGCAGGATATACATAGTTTAATAGTGGAACTCTCTGCCAACTCCCATCAGGGCCCTGCAGGACTTAATACAACTCTGCATGGCCTGTAAGGTAGAGATGTTCCGCCCGGGTTTTGGTTGAGAACAGCAACGGTTTTCCATCATAGCTGGCAGCCACTTTTCTTCCATTCTGCCCACTTTGGCCTCCTCTGTAACCTGCCCATGAGATAGAAGAACAGCCCAGAGTAGGTTTTAGATTAAATTATGGACACCATCTGAAGACTATTAAATTAAGAATAACTGATTTGTTGATTTTAATCTGTAATTTTGTATTGTTTTTAATCTGTTGTAAATTTCCCAGAGCCTTGTGTACTCAGGGATTGGGCGATCAAGAGATATAGCAACAACAACAACAACAACAATTGAAGGCCAATTCTGCACAGGTTATCTGCCCCAGGTTCAGTGCTTTTGGGATGTAGGGATTTTTTCCTGCTTCCCCACAGCACCATGGTGCATTCATGCACATCCTGGGATTCTTGGATCTATCTGAAACCTAGTGCATTCTGAATTTTTGGGAATGATCGCAGTAAAGATTGGATGGACTCTGTGTATGAGAAAATCTGGATTTTCCCACCCATGTGAAAGCCATTTCCCTAATCCTGTCCCTGCAGCAGTTATTTCCTCTCTTTGTCTCCAGAGAACTTTTAGTTTTTGTTTTAAAAAATCAGCACTAGAATATCATATTGACATAATGTTATACCACTATGTGTTTCAGTATCTCTGAATTCCCAGCTTTCATTTTTTTTAAGTAAGTCTCTAGTCTCTTCTGTTGAATGGATATAAGTAGAGAGCCAGTTTGGTGTAGTGGTTATGTGCGTGGACTCTAGTCTGGGAGAACCGGGTTTGATTCCCTACTCCTCCACTTGCAGCTGCTAGATGACCTTGGGCAAGCCATAGTTCTGTCAGAGCTGTCCTTAAAAGGGCAGTTGTTCTTTTTTTTTTGAGCCCCCCGAAGGGGATTTTTTAATTGCATTTTCTATAAACTACAAAGAAACAAGGAAGAGTATGTACAAACTACAGGTGAAAGAAAAGAAGACCACTAAAAACCCAAGAGGTGGTGGCCATTTCAAAAGCTTATAACATTTGCTAAGCTACTAAACAAAGTTACATTAAGTGTGATCAATATATACTTGGCTTATATTTATCAAAACCAGTTAAAAGTTACTGTTTAATGTGTATCCCAGAAGCACAGCTAATAAAAATATCTATTTAAAACAAACTTTAGAGTCATTCAGCATCTCCTTCCCCCCCCCTTCTATTCCTCAATTGATAGCTTCGTTTGGGGGCTGCTGCCCCACGTTACGAATCAGAGTCTTCTTCAGAAGATGTAGTTTCAGACTCATCTTCGCTTCCTTTGTTGCTATCATCTTCTTCTTTGCCGTCCTCTCCTGTAGAACAAAGTTGCTGCTTCAGAAACTTACGGGCTTTAATAACAGAGTCAATTCTTTCTTTCTTGTCGTTTATCTTGAAAAGAATGTCATTGAGTACTAGCCATCAGTAGGGGATGTTGTTTGTCTGTAAAAACACTGCCAAGTCTTTGAATTTCTTTCTCTTCTTCCTGATTTCAAATGGAATATCTTTCAAAACCCTTATTTCTTTGCCATCAATTTTTAGGGGCGTTCCTGATGTTGCTTTCAAGATTTGATCCCTCACATGTCTTTTAGAGAATCTGATCACTATCTCCCCAGGCAGATTATTCTTCTTTGTATATTCTGAATATGATCGGTAAACCACATCCATCTCACTTTGGATATATTCCACTTTTAAATCTGCCACCGGGGCCAAAATATCACTCAAAACTTGTTTCAGATTCTCCCCTTTAGTCTCAGGAAACCCCTGAAATCTCAGGACATAGCTTGCTTTTTCCATTTGTAGTTGCAAAAGCTGTGATTCATCAGTTGTTCTCTTTTTTCCCAACATCTTTACATGTTTGTTAACCTTTTTAGTCTTGGCATCCACTTCCTTCACTGTCTCAGCTGTCTGCTCTGTCTTTTTAGTAATTTCGCTTAGTTGGAGCTGGTGAGCTGTAAAGTTCTGGTTTAAAGTTGTCAGTTGTTGGTTTATAGCTGTCATTTGTTCCAGCAGAGGGCACAAAGAGTCAGCTTTGAGATGTCTGTGGTAGTTTCCGGTCGGGTGGTTAGACCAGCTGGGCTCGGACTTCCTGAAGGAGGCTTGAGTTTCGCTTGCTTGACCTTCTCGGGTTTTTTGCTTGCCATCTTTGAGGATGTTTACTTTTAAATTTTTTTCCAAAGTTTCTATTGCTCGCTCTAGCACCTGGCAACTCTTATGGGATCCTTAAAACAGTTCCGTTTTGCTTTTAAATTCACCTCCCACCATTGGACATGTCTGTCAGTTTCTGCATCTGGAGAGTTCCCTCCCCCACTCGCTTGTATCGGGGGGGGGGCTTTATGCCATTATTCTGGTATTTGCTTGGAACTCACAGTTCATGTCAGCCCGTAGACCTCGCCAAAGGTACATGTTGCTTGCCCGGCCTCCACACGCTTGTCCCGGCCAGTGGCTCGAATTCCATTTGGTCACACAGTGGCAGGACCTTTGGGGCAAAAGGGAGCCTCAATTCTCCGGCATCATGCCAGAGGAGAGGCAACCCTTTAGGGCCCCATGGCTGGGGGCCCAACGCAAGGACCCCGGAGGAGCGTGTACTTTCACACCCCCTCCCAACCACTGGCTTGCAGATCACGTCCCTGGGAGCTCTCCAGGGATGCGTCCGCCATTGAAATGCCAAAAACCAGAAGTTGAAAGGGCAGTTCTTGAAAGAGCTCTCTTAACCCCACCTACCTCATAGGGTGTCTGTTGTGGGGAGGGGAAGGGAAAGGAGTTTGTAAGCCGCTCTGAGACTCCGAGTGAAGGATGGGGTATAAATCCAATCTCCCACTCCTCCTCCTCCCCCTTCTTGAAAGGCATTTTTAAAATAAAATAAATAAAATTTAGACAATCCGATAAACATGTTAGTATAACATTATATCTCTATAACTAAATTCTAGTGGTTTAAAAAAATGGCAAAAGCCCTGGTGGCCCGGGGGGGGGGGGGCGCACTGCTGGGGGTCCATGCCAGGGAGACTGTGGGAAACCTGACATGTTGAAGCCCCATTGCTGCTGCGCTTTATCAGCAGTGGGGATTGGGGAAACCATCCAAGCCTATCCCTGTATGGAAGCACCAAATACTGTTGCATCTTCATTTAAATACCTAATGCTGAAATTTTTCACAGCCCCAATCAGCTCTCTGGCAGAGCAGTAGCTGAACAAACAGCGTACCGAAGTTAATATCGGAAACTACAAAACAGGAACCACTACACCAAGCTCATATATGGCCTTCTGCAGACAGCAGCCTCTGAATCAGGAGGAATTCCCCCTTGTTTTTAAGCTATATTACCTTTTCTGTGCTTTCCTAAAAATGAATTTCTTAAAGATAATGACAAAGTCAGACAGTTAATTCTGCATGCCACTAGAGGCCCCTGAACTTCAAATATTAATCCAGTGTATTATTTCAAAAGCAGTTTGCCATCAAGGGGGACATTCAAAAGTAGTTTGTATTGTGGCATCAGCTGAGGAAGGGGGAAGGGCTGCTTTTCAAAGGGAAAAAAACTTTTAAAATCCTGATAAGCCGGCTAAGGGGATGACTAAAGATCTCTTTGGATCCTAGCCTTATCATACTTTATGCTCTTAATAGACGTTAGTAAGGAATATATA